GTTTCCAGGCCTGAGGTGCCCGCCCTGGCCCCAGGAGAATGAACCAGCCGCAGAGGATGGCGCCTGTGGGCACAGACAAGGAGCTCAGTGACCTCGTGGACTTCAGCATGACGTTCCCGCTGCCTGTCACCAACCGGAAGGGCCGGTCTGCCTCCCTGGCCGGGGCGCAGTTCGGAGGTTCAGGCAAGAGCAGCGAGCGGGGTGCCTATGCCTCCTTCCGGAGAGACGCAGGCGTGGGCGGCCTGACTCAGGTTGGCTTCCTGTGGGGCGAGCTGGCCCTCAGCAGCCCCGGGCCCCTGTCCCCTTCGGGCATGAAGGGGACCTCCCAGTACTACCCCTCCTACTCTGGCAGCTCCCGGCGGAGAGCGGCAGACTGCAGCCTAGACACGCAGCCCAAGAAGGTCCGGAAGGTCCCGCCGGGTCTCCGATTCCCGGTGTACCCGCCCAGCTCAGGTGAGGACTATGGCAGGGATGCCGCCGCCTGCCCATCCGCCAGGACCCCCAGCAGCGCCTATCCCGCCCCCTTCTACATGGCAGATGGCAGCCTGTACCCCTCAGCCGAGCTCTGGAGTCCCCCGGGCCAGGCAGGCTTCGGGCCCATGCTGGGTGGGGGCTCATCCCCCCTGCCCCTCCCGCCCGACAGCGGCCCGGTGGGCATCAGTGGAAGCAGCAGCACGTTTGCTGGCCTGCACCAGCACGAGCGCATGCGCTACCAGCTGCACGGAGCAGAGGTGAACAGTGGGCTCCCGGCTGCATCCTCCTTCTCCTCGGTCCGGGAGCCACATACGGTGGCGTCTCCAGCCACACTCCGCCTGTCAGCGGCGCCGACAGCCTCCTGGGCTCCCGAGGGACCACAGCCGGCAGCTCCGGGGATGCCCTCGGGAAAGCACTGGCCTCGATCTACTCCCCGGATCACTCAAGCAATAACTTCTCGTCCAGCCCTTCCACCCCCGTGGGCTCCCCTCAGGGCCTGGCAGGGACGTCGCAGTGGACTCCAGCAGGAGCCCCCGGTGCCTTATCGCCCACCTACGACGTGAATCTCCACGGCCTGCAGAGTAGGATAGAAGACCACCTGGACGAGGCCATCCACGTGCTCCGCAGCCACGCCGTGGGCACAGCTGGCGACATGCACACGCTGCTACCTGGCCACCGGGTGCTGGCCTCGGGTTTCGCCAGCCCCATGTCGCTGGGCGGGCGGCACGCAGGCCTTGTTGGAGGCAGACATCCCGAGGATGGCCTTGCAGGCAGCACCAGCCTCACGCACAACCACGCGGCCCTCCCCAGCCAGCCAGGCGTCCTCCCCGACCTCTCTCGGCCTCCCGACTCTTATAGTGGGCTAGGGCGAGCAGGTGCCACAGCCGCTGCTGGCGAGATCAAGCGGGAGGAGGAGGAGGATGAGGAGAACACGTCGGCGGCTGACCACTCAGAGGAGGAGGAGGAGGAGCTGAAGGCCCCCCCTGCCCGGACCAGCCCAGACGAGGACAAGGACGACTTTCTCCCCCCGGAGCAGAAGGCGGAGCGGGAGAAGGAGCGCCCGACGGCCAATAACGCCCGGGAGTGGCTGCGGGTCCGTGACATCAAGGAGGCCTTTAAGGAGCTGGGGCGCATGTGCCAGCTGCACCTCAACAGCGAGAAGCCCCAGACCAAACTGCTCATGCTGCACCAGGCCCTCTGGGTCATCCCGAACTTGGAGCAGCAAGTGCGAGAGTGGAACCCGAATCCCAAAGCAGCCTGTTTGAAACAGCGAGAAGAGGAAAAGGTGTTGGGCGTGGTCGGAGACCCCCAGATGGTGTTTTCAGCTGCCCACCCCGGCCTGAGCGAAACCCACAACCCTGCCGGGCACATGTGAAAGGTATGCCTCCGTGGGACGAGCCACCCACTCTCAGCCCTGTGCGCTGGGCCCAGAACAGCCACTTGAGACCCCAGGCTTCGTCCACGTCCACACCTCACACACCTGTTGTCAGCATGGAGCCAACACCAACCTGACGAGGTTCGGAGTGATGGGGGCGACCAAGGTGACGCTGGGTCCAGGAGCTCCCTGGGACCCTGGCCCACCCCTCCCTGGCCTTGCTCCCCGTCCCCGAATCTCAGTCACCGTGTCACCCTGTGACTTGCCCCATGGATCCTGAAACTGCATCTTGGCCCTGTTGCCTGGGCTGACAGGACCTTTTTTTTTTTTCTCCAGTAAAGAAAACCTGACAGCAAGCAACAAAACATACTGTCAGAAAAGGAAAAAAGCGCCTTAACTATAAAAAGTGGAGAAAACATATCACTCCAGGGAGATGCTGTGGAGACCTGGCTTATGCTTCAAAAGCCACCAGCAAATTGTGCCTAAGCCTAATATTTTTTGTTAAGGAAAATAAAAAGAATATTAGTTATAAGATTTTTTTTTTTCTTAATGTAGATGAAAATTAGCAAGGATGCTGCCTTTGGTCTCTGGTTTTTTTTTTAAAGCTTTTTTTTGCATGTTTTGTAAGCAACACATTTTTTGTATAAAAGTCCCATGTCTCTCGCTATTTCTGCTGCTGTTTCTAGACTGAGCATTGTACTTCCTGATCAACCAGATGATTAAACGTTGTATTTAAAAAAAAAAAAAGAATCCTGTTATAATGGCCAATGATCCTGACATACTTTAAGTATAACATGAAATCCATAAAAATGTGGAATATAAACTTTTTACTAATTAGTACTTATCAAAGTAGGAAGTAAACATTAGGAAAATCACCATAAGAAAAGCACCACCTGAAACACCATAAACCCAAATGATTACTCAGCCATCCGTTTAAAATAGAGATAACATAAGAAGCTTAGCATACAGAAGTCTGCAGCTTTTGAGAGACAGGGTAACATTAGATCTCACAACCTCAAGCTGATCATTAGTTCTGTACTTGAACACCAGCACCTTAGCCAGCTGTGCACTCAACTGCAGAAGTTAGGGCAATGTTCTAGCATACTCTGTAAATTGGCAGGTATAATCAGGAGTTAAAACGATTCTCTCTTAGAACATCACAGGAATATGGGTTTCCCATTAGAGATGTCTATGAAAAAAAACCTTGGAATGTTATTACACGGCAACATTTTTTTTTGGTTGAATAAAATCCAGCATTTTTACTTATCAAACTCCAATTTCTAAGTTATCATCAGCTCCCCATCCACTTTCCCCCATCTTCTTATCTCTTTCCCACCCTACACTTTCTCTCCCCCACAACCCGGGCTCCAAAAAGAAAAAAAAAATCCCTCAGCCATTTGATCTTAGTATCACTGCAAAAATCAAAACCAGTGTCTCTTGCCCCCAGAACAGTGGGTATCCCCACCTGGCTGCCTCCTGTAGCTCATGCAAAATTCAACCCATAATTACAGATGTATTCTCAGTTTATGCTCACTTGAGATTCAATGGTGACTATGGTCAAGATGGAGAGATTTGTGAACAAAAACACATTTCAACAGCAAAAATCAATTAGTTTTGTCTTATTTGCCATTGACATGGGTAATGTACAGACAGTCCCTGATATATGATGGTTCAACTTACAATTTTTTGACTTTACAATGGTGCAAAAGTGATGAGTTCAGTAGAAACCATACTTTGAGTACTCATACGACCATTGTTTTTCACTTTCAGTACAGTATTCAATAACTTATGTGAGATATTCAATACTTTAAAGTAGGCTTTGTGTTAGATGATTTTGTCTAACTATAGACTAATGTAAATGTTCTGAGCATGTTTAAGGTAGTGTAGCCTGAGCTATAATGTGTGGTAGGTTACAGGTATTTTTTTTTTTAACACTCAAAAAGATCAATTTTATTTATAATCTGGAATTAACAGGGATTTTCCTTTTTTTTTAAATTATACTTTAAGTTCTAGGGTACACGTGCACAACGTGCAGGTTTGTTACATATGTATACATGTGCCCTGTTGGTGTGCTGCACACATTAACTCATCATTTACATTAGGTATATCTTCTAATGCTATCCCTCCCCACTCCCCACTCCCCACAATAGGCCTCGGTGTGTGATGTTTCCCTTCCTGTGTCCAAGTGATCTCACTGCTCAATTCCCACCTATGAGTGAGAACATGTGGTGTTTGGTTTTCTGTTCTTGCCATAGTTTGCTGAG